CAAAAAAAAAAAAAAACATACACACACATACACAGAGAAAGACACATATATAGAGGGAGAAAGTAAAAGTACGAGATAATGATAACTTCCTATAAGAAAATTTGTAAGATGGTCTAGAAAAATGACGTATTGCCTAACCATTGTTGTGGAGAGAACATTTCACTAAGAACCATTCATGAGGTTCATTGCTCCAGTGTCAATGATTCACGGAAGACAATGGTTACAACCGTACAACAGTGGGTTTTGTAGTCAATTTGTAGCGTAGTTTTTTTTCCTTGTTAATAATGAGCTTTGCTACCATCTTTGGACTAACAGTTGATAAAGAAGAGAAATAAACCCTTCCAGACATGAAGAAGGAATTAAGGTTTTCTTGGGCATGAGGTGATGGAATTCAAGCAAAGAGGAGAGGTAGAGTTCAAAGTTAAGTTACTTTCCGTTCGTCATTATTGGCTTGCTAGATGAAATGGCTAGAGACATAAAAATGGCATTTCTTTTTCCATTTTGTTTGCTTGGTTGTCTTTCCTTCGTTTGCTTAATTCCAAATTCTTTCTAATGTCTTCAATTAAACCTAGGACATATGACAATAAGTAATAGTTGAAGGAAAGAAAACAAGGTCATTGAGCTTTTAGAGGCCAAATGGGAACTAAGGAAATGGGGAAGACAAACACACGTATTTTCTTCTTTCAGATTCAAGCACCACCCTTTGTTTTTCCTTCTGTTGCTACTGCGAAGAGAGTTTATCCTGTCCTTGAAAAGGGATTTCTTTGTTAACTTACGCCTTCTTATTGAATAGATTTATTCTTTCCTATCCTGAAGAAAAAACCTGAGAGAAACAACAAGTGGATGGCTTAATCTATATGGTCGCCAAGGCTCGAAGAAATATATGTTTTAAAAGCATAAATTTAGTGCTTTATTTGATAGCTCTAGCTCTCGCTCATTCAAAAAATTGACATAAGAACATAGAGTAATGTTGGTGTTTGGACAATTGGACTCCAGACTGTCTTTTGAACCAATAAAATGAGTGTTCTCGCTTTTGAATGGTTCGCTTGCTGGTTCTAGTCAAGACATCAAAGAGTACAGTGACAGATATCATCATGCAGCCTAGCCCTTATTACTATTATTACTATCAAACATATTATCGAGGAAAGTTTTCAATCGGTAGAGAGAATCAGAGAAGTCAATAGATAATGGACCAGAAGATACTTAAAGACAAGGTGGTCAATGCCTCAACTCAAAAAAAAAAAAAAAAAAAAAAAAACTCAAATCTCAAAAACATGAACCAAACTTGATATCAAGGACGGACCAATATGTCTTTTAGGCTAGCCTCAACCTGAACTTCCCCTGAGGTGGAGTAAAACTTCCTTACCCTGAGCTAAAAACTCTCATTGTTTATCATTGGTGGTCGAGAGAGGGAGCCGAAGCAGTCGTATAAATACACTTAAAACCAAAAAAAAAAAAAAAAAAAAAAAAAACTCAAATCTCAAAAACATGAACCAAACTTGATATCAAGGACGGACCAATATGTCTTTTAGGCTAGCCTCAACCTGAACTTCCCCTGAGGTGGAGTAAAACTTCCTTACCCTGAGCTAAAAACTCTCATTGTTTATCATTGGTGGTCGAGAGAGGGAGCCGAAGCAGTCGTATAAATACACTTAAAAAAAAAAAAAAGAAACATGAACCAAACTTGATATCAAGGAAGGACCAATATGTCTTTTAGGCTACAACAAAATATCATAAGGCGCATGCGTATGCCTGAACAAGGGTTCGACTTGCACTACACATGACAACTTTAGATGTTGGAATGAAAAATTTCAGACTTCAGTTCCAAAAGCAACAATGTAGCTAAATGTGCGGTTAATCAATCTTTCTCATTTTTTTTCATGAATTTCTACTTATATCTTCATCTCTCTCCATCAAACATAAAATATCACCCAGTAATTTCCTATATACAGTAATTTCCTATATCTTCATCTCTCTCCATCAAACATAAAATATCACCCAGTAATTTCCTATATACAGTAGATTAAAAAATAATCTTCAAACATTTGAATCAAAATTTCCCCAAAAAAAAACCTACTAACCTGTGCCCAGGCGTACTCGTCAAGCTCGGAGCAACCAGACTTTCCCAATTCCTCGGCCTCCTCATAAAATTCCTATATGCCACATATCCTTTTCCATTACATCTCCATTCCTTCAACAAAAAAAAAATCCCAAATAAATCAAATCATTCCGTCTTCAAACATCTCGGATAGAAATTTCGAAAACTACCTTGCGTGTTTGGATCTGATTCTTTCGAGAAAGTAGGAGTCGCCGGATTCCGACGTAATTGGGGTCGTTGTGGGCGGTCGGAGGTTGAAGAAGGCAGCCGATGAACTCTGGATCGATCTTTGGATCTCGATCTGTATCAGATTCGTCTCCTTTATCCTCCATTTCTAACGGTGGTTTTGTTTTGAGGCAGAGGGTTTTGAGTGTCAATGGTTAATGAGGTTCTTGAGATCTGGAGTCGGAGGGCGTGTTCGTTTTGTTCGACATGGAGATCTTTGTTCTGGGGACGAATGTTTTCGATATTAGCCCCCTACGTCTTTGTTATTTTGAAACAAATCCTTCAAATCTTTATGTTGAATTAGTCCCCAAAATTTTTGAGTGTTCTCAAATTAGCTCTTTGAAAGATTTGGGGGGCTAATTTCAAAGCACTTGTTAGATTTGGGTAGGTGTAAACAAAGTTCGGTTTGAACCCAATAAACCAACTGGTGCTTAAGTTCGATTTTAGAAGTAGTTCGGTTCGGTTTGGTGGTTAAAAATAATGCTTGGTTTAAAACCGAGTCTTGCGAAATAGGTTGCAACCAAAACTAAGTTTAAACATTAAGGTAAATTCGTACCTACTCCTACTTGATCCCTCTATCTTACCCTTGTCCAATTTAAACCTACTACGAATTACATATAAAATCATAATTAAATATCAATTCCAATTTTCCTACACAACTTCCTGCTTTTATCTCTGTCTTCTTTTAGGCTACATACATCAAACATACACTTACATTAGACATTATTGCATATGTGACCTTTAGAACGCAGGGAAGCAATACACTTGAAGCTATTAATATCTTGATCAATTCAAGTCTAACTGAATAAACAAACCGTATCAATCGAACTGATTTCAATCGGTTATCTAAATGGTTTGGTAAATTTTGGTCAAAATCGAACCAATTGACCGTTTGATCACCCCCAAGATTTGGGGGACTAGTTTAAATATGAAGATCTGGGGGACTAATTCAAAATATGAAGATTTGAAGGACTAATGTCTAAAAAAACCTTTTCGGAATTTGATGCCGAGTTTGTAAAACCAAGTTCTTTTGGGTTCTTGATGAACAATAATCAAATTTTTACGGGCTAATCAGCACTTAAATATCAGCTAAATGTCAGAAAACACCCCTTAACTTTTACGGGATAATCAAATTTTTACGGGCTAATCAACACTTAAATATCAGCTAAATGTTAGAAAACCCCCTTTAACTTTGGTCGATATTAGATAAGCCTCATAGCCTTCAAAATATCATAAAACACCCTTTAAGTTTAGGAGATATCAGAAAACCCCCATTTAACTTTAAGATTATGTTAGAAACTACCCCAAATAGCCTTAACTGCAAATTTGACAAGAGTCAGTAAATTATGAAGGGAAATATTTTTGTCAATAAAAATTACAGTCCATGCTTTTAGAGAGGTTTTCTGAAAAAAAAAATCTTAAAGCTAAAGGGGATTTTGTGATAACCCATTAATATCTAGTAGAGTTTTCCCCCTAAGAAACTACTTTTAAATCTAGGTCACTATATAGAAATTATTCTTTTAGTGTTAATTAATAAATAAACCGCTTAAAGGGATTTGCATTGCAATACCACATTCCAATCAAACCTTTCACTAAAACAATACCCTCAAAAACTACATATTCAAGGTACGTGACTCAATTAGTTATTATTTATAACGTAGCAGGTATTTGAATCCACGATTGCTGAAATCCACCAGTTGAAAGAGAGAAATCTCTAGGTTTTAATAATAATTTTTATTGATGAAAAATGAGTACAATTAATGGGTGCCTTTAAATAGGCATACACTTCCTTGATGAAAAAGAAGTTTAACTTTGCCTTGAAGAAAAAGAAATCCAAACTAAGGAAAGAATTCTAAAATCTCTTCTAATTTATTCTATGATCTCTCCTAACCTTTCATTGAAGAAAAAGAAAACTAAACTATGGAAAGGGATAAAACATCTCCTACTTTATTCAAAGTAATAAAACGTAATCAAATATGAGATCTACGATAAGCAATATTGTTGCTTGGCTATGTCAGACTCCCCTCCTTTGAAAGAACTTGTCCTCTAGATCAGCACTAGATATGACGTCTCCTCTGGTAAGAATACCCAAATAAACCAGCTGCAATGCTGAGTGTTCTTGAAATATTCATGTCCTTTAGTACATCTATGACTTATGCATTGTCATTGATCTTTTGCAAAATCTGGTAAGGTTCATGCTTCTCATCTAGAAGTTTGCTGTAAGTGCCCGCCAGAAATCTCCCCTTGCGAAGATACCCCATCACCAAGTCTCCCTCCGTGAGCACATCTTGTCGTCGATGTTGATCCATATTGCTTCCTTATATCAAGCATAGCCCCTTGAAGCTTTTGACACACCTCATCATGTATAAATTGGTTGCATTCCATCATATGTTCTGCTGCAATGCTTCTTCCTGGGACCTTCAGTAGCGTCACCAAGTCTAAGACATGTTTTCGCGGATAGGAATAAACTATTACAAAAGGTGATTTTTTTTTTTTTTTTTTTTTGTACATGCTATTATAGGAGAATTCAGGTTGTGCCACCTACTGTTTTGGTCACCAAGTCCAGTGTTTTGTGACTGTCCTTTCACACCTTGACAAGTTTGACATTGCCCACAATAATTATTGACTTCTTTTTTTAATTGGACCTATTGGGCGCAGAGTCACGTCCACCGTCGCGGAACCGATATGTCCTGAGAGAGAGCCCTGACTTTTGTTTTCACAAAAGTACAAGTCAACCTCGATATCTGTGTTTCGCGAAGGAAAACCAGACTCAGTAGCGAAATATCTCAGCGAAGTGAGATATCCACTCTTCCTCTCATCAGTGCAAGGACCGAACTATCGAGGGCACCCGCAAGTAAAACAAATAGTTATGACAATACAAACACGAGATTTACGTGGTTCGGCAAATTAGCCTACGTCCACGGGAGGAGATTTTCACTATGAGGAGAACACCAAACTATTACAAGTTTTCTCTCAACTCACTCTTTCTTTTCTCTCAAAAGAACTCCAATACAACCCACTTAGTATTTTTCCCCACACTTATAACTCCTCCACCCCCTCCTCTATTTATAGGAGAGAGCAAGGGGCCGACCCGAATTATCTTGGCGGGCAGAACGCGCGGGAGAGGAACTCGCGCGTGAAGAGAAAAAAAAAAAGCAGCAGCAGAGGGAAAAAATTCCCGCGGGAGAAAAAATTCCCGCGCCCGCTTTCGTGCGCGCGCACGTCTGCTCGTGGGCAAACGCCCACGTGGGTGGGCCCCCGCGTCCACAATTCTCCACCTCGTTCATCATTTGATAAACCTCAAATTTTGAACGAACACCAGAAGAACCCCATGAACTCCATCAGAGAGATATCCAGGCCAAACCAGCTGCGTCACTATATCGCGACTGCCTACGTACCCTCCACCAAGATCAAGATAACCGTAGTTCTGTCATTATTCTCCAACACAGTCTCCACAATACCTCCATCACCGCCCCGAAGGGCCATGCCCTCTCGGGCAAATCAACACGGGCTGATATGAAGCAAGTCCAAGCAATGCTGGAACTTGCTACCTGTGACCACATTGGTTAACATGTCAGCGGGATTCTCATTCGTATGCACCTTCATGAGAGAAATATCTCCTTCCTCTATGACATCCCGCACAAAATGATATCTGACGTCGATATACTTGGTATGAGCATGGTGAACTTGATTCTTCGCCAAGTGAATCGCATTTTGACTGTCGCACCACAAGTTCACGCTTTCCTGCTCGATCCCCAAGTCGTCTAGAAGACCCCACAACCACAATGCTTCCTTCACTCCCTCCGCCATAACCATGTACTCGGCCTCTATAGTAGAAAGTGTCACTGTAGCCTGCAACATCGATCGCCAACTAACTGGAGCCCCATGTATCCTGAATACATAACCAGTAGTAGATCGTCGTCTATCTAGATCGCCCGCATAATCTGAGTCCACATACCCGTCGACCTAACATGTATCTCTACCAAAACACAGACCTGTATCCGCGGTACCTTTCAAGTACCTCAGGACCCATTTCACCGCTTCCCAGTGCGCATTTCCCGGATTCGCCATGAACCTGCTGACCACACTAACCGTCTGTGAAATATCTGGGCGTGTACACACCATTGCGTATATTAAGCTGCCAACTGCACTAGCATAAGGGACACAATCCATGTGTACCTTATCTTCCGTTGTAGTGGGAGATTGTTTACCTGAAAGCCTAAAGTGTGGAGCCAATGGGATCACCACCGACTTTGTACTTTGCATCCCGAACCTCGCGATCACCCGCTCTATGTAGCCCTTCTGACTCAAGAACAATCACCGATTCGCCCGCTCTCTTCTAATCTCCATACCCAGTATTTTCCTAGCAGCACCCATGTCCTTCATCTCGAACTCATTGCTAAGTTGAGATTTCAGCTTATCTATCTCCACCTTGTTCTTCGATGCAATAAGTATGTCATCCACATACAACAGGAGATAGATATAATCACCTCCACGAAGCTTCCGAATGTAAACACAACAATCATAGTCGCTTCGGGAAAACCCATACTTTAGCATGAACGAGTCAAATCGCTTGTACCACTGCTGAGGAGATTGCTTCAACCCATACAGTGACTTCCTCAAGCGACATACATGATTCTCCTTGTCCTCAACCTTGTAACCCTCAGGTTGATGCATATAGATCTCTTCATCCAAGTCTCCATGCAAGAAGGCCGTCTTTACATCGAATTGTTCCAGCTCAAGATCACCATGAGCAACAATACTCAATAGCACCCGAATAGAGGTGTGTTTCACCACCAGAGAAAAGATCTCATTATAATCCACACCTTCTCTTTGTGCAAACCCCTTGGCCACTAGCCTCGCCTTGTACCTCGTTCCACTGAGCTCTGAAGGATCTTCCTTTCTTTTTTTACAGCCACTTACAACCTATAGCTTTCTTTCCTACGGGCAATGGGATCACCTCTCATGTTTGGTTCTTCCGGAGAGATTCCATCTCCTCCTCCATCGCAGCCAACCAACTCTCGCTATCTTTATCCCGAATAGCTTCCTTGAAGGAGACCGGATCAGGTTCCTCCACCGAGAGTGCGTACTCAACCAAATTAACATGCCCATAGTGCTTCAGGGGTTGATCAGCCCCCAACTTCTGTACCTGCTTGTATACTCGCCTTAGCCTAGTGGAAGCCAAGCTATCCTCGAGCTGTTGTTGTTGTAGTGTTTGTG